AAGGACTTGGAGTATGGTATGACATGCCATTTGCCATGCACGACACTGTGGAAGATGAAGGGACGTCGGAACCATTCAGTCTAGATCTCGATATTCAACCTGAAAAACAGGCCGAAGAGTTGCAAATCGCTGACGAAGAGGGGACTAGATCTGACATAGTTGGTCAGCCTGTCTTGCAAGATTTAAATAATACTGAAATAGAAACTCAAAGCACTATGACTCTGGAGCCAGAACCTGACTCACAAGGTGACTTACAGGCTGGTAGTGAGACCAGGAAATCCCAACGACTTAGGAAAGCTCCTTCTAGACTTACCTATGACGCGCTAGGTAGTCCTAGCATTGTGTTTCCTGCAGTTAAATATGTTTCTTGTTTGTACAAGTGGATAGGCTCCCCTTTTCTACCCTAGTTGAGGTTTGATTCACATTACTACCTACTAAGCCATGAGGGCATGTCTTTATTTTGGTGGGGGGAGAGTGTAGCAATCTGATTATTCACAGAATCAGAGTGTTGTTTTCTTTTGTTTGCCAGAGCGTGTTTTGTCTTTGTGGTGATGCATTGGGGTGTTTGTTTTCGTCACATGGTGGATCATTAGGAAATTTCATGGTTTGTTGTGATGGGTTGAAATATGCAGTTGCACAGTGTTATAACCGTTTTATATGGGTGTTGAGGAATTTATTGTTTGCAAAATAATAGAACATGAAATACAATGTTTTGAGTGTACCACAAAAGAAGACAACCGAAAAAAAGGAGAAGAAGAAGAGAGAAGACGCGCGGAGCGGGCGAAGGAGAACTGGACAAGTCACGGCAATGGCCGTATAAGGTGTGTGTCAACTAAAGATTCAAGACAGAGAAAAGGTGCTTATAAGCTGTCTTCAGCAAGCCTGGACAACTGTTCCCTCCTCCAGTGGATCGCAGAAGAGTTCGTGCACAACCCGTGCTGCGAGGGAGTGAGTTGAACTGTTTTCCAAAAAGACGAAGCTGAGAAAGTTAAGCTAAGCTAATGCTAAAGCTAGCGCCATCGTGTCTGTGATAATTACCTCGTCGAGAGTCGCAAGGAAGCAGATGGTGTTTCGATGGTATGAACGAGGATTTTTTTTTCTTTCAGACTGGTATGACTGTTAAAATGGTTTCGAGTGGACATAAGCTCCAACGCAAGCTTGCATAAAACTTTAAGAGTGCACTCAGGTTGATTTTGTGGTTAAAACATCATTTCAAGGGTTTAAAATATTATTTCATATTTGAACTGGGTAAATTTGTGGTATATGTTTGTTTAATTAATACACAACCTTAAACTGTGTTTAGTGTGCGTGTTTACTGTTTCTACACTGTGAAACAGTCCCTGGAAAAATTGTCCATAAGTTACAAGTAACAAAGTACATACATATTCTGAGTTATTTGAAGTAATATCATTTCTGGGAAATCTCCAATTGATGTTTTAAAGGTGAGGATCATACTGAACCCTAGACAAAGTTTCTTACATTGGAATGTCTCTTTTGCCAGTTTGTTTTTTTGAGTTTAGAGGGGTATGCACTAAGTAGCTATTCCCTTACTATAACGAGCCGGGTGGCAAAAGGGTTACACTTATGAGCACTGTATGCGTCTAAATGTGGATATTAGAAAATGTGAGATTAGCTCTATTAATTTGACACAATAAAAAATGTATAAGAAGAATTAAGATTAATTTGAATATCCACATAGTGAGTCAGGTGTAACACCTGAGCACTAAGGCAAGAACAGGCTCAATGATTAATTACATGGAACATTGTGGGTGTGGTGTATGAATGTTAACACTTTGTAATAATTCTTTAGTATATTACTTGTGTGGTGTAGAAGATAATTATTTATGTAGAGATACTGCTTGCAAACCAATGATGGTAAGATGATGTCATGGGGTAGGACTGGATAAGTCTGACTTCTTCCTACTCCATTCAAGCATGTTCTAGGTATAAGCAAATTGATATTGGATTAGCATTTGTTGGATATGTGTAAAATTATGTGTGTCAGCATATCAACTGTCTTTACATGCTTGAAAGAATAAATCAAATCAAATCAAATCAAGGTTTCATTTATGTAACCTTCATTTTCCCAGGTGAATCTAACTGAGGTTAACAACCTTTTTCTCAAGGCTGAAATGGCAACATTACAAATTTAACACAATACAGTATAACACACATAAAATACTAAAACCTGGCAGCAAATATATGAAGTTACAAAAAGTAATAAAAGGATAAAGGAGGTAATTTATAAGAAAAAAAGGTTATCAGTGTCATAAAATTAAATGTGACTAAAGGTGACAGCAGACATGTGTCCTGTGATATTAGATTGTGAGCCCTGCGATTAGGACACTCCTAGTTGTGGTATTACAAATGGAAACTTGCCCAAACTAAAAATAGATGAAAGAGATGGAACTGAAATGATATCAGTTTCCACTTTTATATAATTAACAGTTGAGTAGAACATTTGGAACATGATGGGTGGTATCACTGTCATGGAAATGCTTCTATTTTTGAGAGTTGCTAGTTCTCCAAAGAATTAAAATACTTAGTGGTGATGAATCATCTCAGGGTTTAAGTCATGCTGGCATGGAGTTGACTTTCTCAGCATTCTCTAACAAGTATCACCATGCATATACTGTATACCGTTTCACAGTATACAGTATTTGACCCTCAGAACTCAGTTGTCTGTCAATCAGTTATCATTTTAGCCATCCTGCAGATCTGCACTAAACCCAACAGTTGTTATTATCTTAAACATTGTTGTGTAGGGATTGCTCTAGGCATGGAGGTGTAGGTACGTCGCACAAAAAAGTTTGGGAACCACTGTGCTAAGAGTCTCTCTTGTGTGCTGCACATAATGTGTAAAGGATCTGCAGGAAGGTGGAGCCCTACGGTCAACGAGGAATCAATCTAAGTACTGCATATGGCTCTCCTTATCTAAGAATTGCTTACAACCATGTTAAAAGCAGCACCAACACCTGATGAGCTTCTCCTGACATGAGCTTCACAGTTCAAACATCCTGTGTCACAACAGTAGTTTAACTCCTGCCACTCCCCAGAATCACCTTGTCGTCTTCCTTCTGCTGCATCCTCAAACACACTGATGCATTCAATTTATTCATGAGAGAGGAGGGAAGATAATGGTAGTGCTGAATGCGTATGAGCGCAAGAAGGCAGAGCGTGGTTCCAAATTGGACAGACACACAGAGGAAGTGTGGGAGGAGCAGTAGAAATGCCAGGGTGATAGATGGGGACCATCTTTAAACACTGTTCACCATAGTTTGGAAAGAATGACTATAAAAGGAGAGTTTACAGAGACTGGGCCTGTAAATAATAACCCTCTGTTATTGTTTATGTAAAAAACATGTTGCTGTTTGCAACGGAAAACTCACATTTTGCTAATAGGCTGATCAGGCCACAATTAAATGGTAATGAAAAAAAAATCCAACCTTTGTTTTCAAAAAAGAATTATGATGGAAAAGTGACTTTCATCTTTGCCTAGCTTTCTGTTTTGTCATATCAATGAAAGACAAAAGGCCCCAAATACTCAGATACGTCTACTAATCGACTAATACCACTGCCAGAGTGTAATCTCATCTGCTCACTAACCACCTTTCTGCCTCTGGTCTTCATCTCGATTTTACCATACACACATTTTCTTGTGTGTATGTCTGCACAGAATCAGTGCTGCTGAGCACCTACTGCAATATTAATGTATGTGGGGTGATATTTATCTCTCTCTCTCTCACTTTCCAATATTGCTAACTTTTGTCTCTCATAATCTAATTTAGATTAATGGTCTGTCTGTCTGTTTTATTGTTTAATAAAGACAAAATGTTAAAAACTAAAAATATTAGTCTGGCTCAGCTCAAAACAAACAGTAGATTCATTTATGTTTAAACTCAATAAGAAGCAATACTGGTTGCCTATAGATAGCATCTTGATGTCATAGTTAGTTACGTTTAAGTTTTACATATACTGTATAAAGGGTTAATTTGTAGAGATAAGCATTAGAAGTCTTTATTAAGTTAGAGCCTTTGCAGGCCGAACATGTATATAAATGAATTCCAGCACATCCATAAAATGAAACATACAATATATGACACGATCAGTAGAATTAGAAACAAAAATAGAAATAGAAAAAGCTTTAAAAGGCAATGGAAAATAGGTGCTTTGAACAATAAGAGAAGTTCAATTTTTGTATCATTGGATGAAGATTGGACAAAAACAAATCCAAGTCCCAAACTATCAGTGATGAAGACTTTTGTCCTATTTTGACTGGTTGTTTCAGCCTGGCTCTAGTTTAAAGGAGCTGCCATGTCATATTGTGAATCTGAGCCCTGAAAAATGCAAATAATTCACAGGTTCAAGGAATCAAATGTTTGGTTCTGCTAAGAGAATGTATGAAAAATAAGGATTAGGAAAAACTAATATAGGGAACACAGATAGATAGATGAGAAAAGTGATGAATCTGTGTCTTAGACTCCCAGTTCTGGCAGTGTTGGTGATTCAACATTTCAACATTCAACTGAAGCTCATGTTAGCAAGATGTGCATCAGCTAAGACTTAGTCAAACAGCCCAGACATGTGCTATATGTTACTGACCAAAAGACATGTCCTATTCCTGTTTTGTTGTTTGCTGCAAAAAGGAAAACTAGACACCTTTCTTGAAATGTGGAGTCAGTTTATGGCAGAAAAATAAATAGCCCAGTGATTTGGAAAAACTTTACCATAAAATGGATAGATAACTACTTATTTTAATTATTTACATCATTCCTGTCACCCATTACAATCAAATACATTAAATGTTCCTGAAGTAAAGAAATGTGTCGACAGTTTCACGAGTACCAACAATACAACACTGTTGTATTGTATGCTATTCCCTCTATGCATCTTCCTGTAGCATCGCCTATCTTTACAAAGTACGCACATTACCACTGACACAAGCAGGCAAAGGAATGATAACTACCTCCGTATGATAATTAGTAACTTCATGCCTCTACCTTGGTAACTGTAGAGATCTCCCACGCTGTTCTGACGTGTGATGTGCTGCCAGTAGGCGCTGCGTGGCAGGGAGATGGACTTGGTTAGCACCTCTCTGGAGTGGATCTGAAACAGAAAGAAAGAGCTCACAGAGTTTCACTTTCTGTCACTGAGTCCTTTAGTCACAACAGCAGAAAGTGCTCTAGATATGTCAGTAAACAAAGAGCACGTGTCATACAGTGTACTGCTGAATGACAGATGTTTCCACTCAGAATAGCTATTTAATGGGTAGATTTATTTGTGATCATGTCGTTGTGCCCATTGATGATCTGTTTTAGATTTTAAGTTGCAATGTGAAACTAAAAGCTTCATCTTTGAGCCACAAAAAGGCCTGCAATATATAAAAATACATTAGTATTTTACTGAAAAAAAAATCTGCGTTTAGTGAGTTGTAACTGAGTGAACCCATTCTGCAACTGCAAGTGATCAGTTTTGTGTAGATACCCATGTGATTTATAGAGCTGAGGGTAAATGCTGCATTTGGAAATGTTCCCAAGTGGTAGGGTCCGAGAGCATAGCCATATGGTCAAGGCTCATCAAACACTAGGCAGTCCAACATAAATAAAGAATACAGATGATTGTGAGGAGGAGGGGAGGAAGCAAAGAGGGAGATAGGAAGGAAGAGATGGATGGTTGCTGTGATGGAAGTAGGGAGCGGAGGCCAAGACCACAGGGTGTCAGAGGGCTCCTGGTCCAAGGCAGCACTTTTCAGGAGAACCAGGCAGATGATAGTGTGTGATTTACTGCCCTTGAGTTCACAGCCTCAACTAAATGCTTGTCTGATCAGCATAAAATCAGTCACTGAAGAAATCAGTGGAATACTTAGTAAACCAGGCTTTTTTGTCTTCATGTGCATGTGTGTAGCCTTTGAACAGACGCAGTCTTTGTATAAACACTTCTTGCACTATGTTTCTTCTGGCATCAGCTGCAACAAGATATTTTAGCAAGTGCATGATGATGACGCACATCATCTACACATTAATTATTCCTGAAACAGTGGCGTCTTGACACTTGCACTCATTTTTAGCTGTTTGTAATGTTGACAGTACAAAAAACAAAACCGTCGACCTCGTTGTGAGCTGCTGTGGATATCAGAAAAAAATATACCTGGGAGCTCTTCTCCATTTCCTCCATCATCCTCTCATGCTGCTGAGCGATGGCCAGCGTGGCTGAGTGGACCCGCTGGTAGATCATTTCCCCCTCCCGTGTCTGGAATGTGAACAAACCCTCTCCTGTGTCACACATCCTGTGCCAGGAACACACAGACAAAGAGTAAAGCACCCACTTTGATCATGCTCATTCTGATTTATAAATATGTATAGTTGAATGTGTACTTGCAAAGACACACATACAGTAATGGCCCACTTGAGCGGGTAGATTATAGTACACATACAAAGACGCAAATTCACAGAGGCACCTGTCACACCATTGCCTGAAGGGCTCTGCGGTGAATGGTGATATCCTGGGATGTTTTGAATATCTAAAGTTGCTTTGTTAAAGTTTTTATGACATTTTACAAACTAAGTTTTTTCCCCTTCCACCACCAACATTTCAAACACAACAAATACAACACAAGCACAAATCAGCATGCACACACACCTTCCAGACTCAAAAGTAAACCAGGTGGAGTCTCGACCGTATCTGCGCAGGGAGCTGAGGGGCCACATGATGAGTTTGAGGCGAACGTTGTGAATGTCCCACAGGTAGATGTTTTCATGGGTGATCTGCATGGTACACTCCCCGTAGATGTCGAGGTTAGGGGTGGGCATGAGGTACACGTTGAACCGTTCTGGAAGGATTCACACCGCACTTAATAAGATGGGACCTCCGCGGTCCAACAAAGCAAAATACTGTTAAACTGAGCATAAAACACTGGTTTGTATGAATTACTGGAAACAATTTCACATTTTCTTACTGACTTCTTGCGGTGTTCATGTAGATAGTTTTGGTTTAATTCTTCCTTTATTCCAGCACAAAGAAGTCACAAGAATTTTAGTTTGAAGTGCTCACAGTAGTGAATAATTATATTTAAATGTATGTTAATGTAAGGTTTAAAAAAACTTTAGATACTATGTTCTATAAATGTTGTCCACCTAGTAGTGGATAATCTATAGAACATGTTTTAAATGAAACCAGGTCTGATAATTCTGAACTCTGCATTCTAAAATTTTAAAAATCTACTAGCAATACCTTCATAGTTACTATACATGAGAGTGATGTTGGTCTTCTCATCTAACTCTTGACAAAAAAGCAAAAAAAAAAAAAAAAGTCAAACTACACAGAATTAAAACTTATACATATTATCAAAATTTGTAAAACTTGAGATAATGTTAGCAAGAGCTTGCATTTTGTCCACAGTGGTTCTCAACAACTTGCATTAGAAAGGATTTTCACAAATTGTTTGAAAAAAGCATCTTTAAAAAAAGATGGATACAAGTTAAAGTCAAGTCACCTAAATTGAACGTTATTTTTCAATCTTGATAGGGCGTCCATGAAAGCCTGATTGAAACAAAAGTGCATGGGGCTGGGAGAATAAAACACATGACTGGCATGTGTCTTTCTGTCCCTGACTGGGTTTAGCTGTAGGACACATCATAACAATACATTAAACAGATTTTTACATACCCAAGACTCCATTTTTATTTTTCATCTAAAATGGCAAGACTAGAGTAAATCATCCCTTTACAAAGGTCTTTTAAATAAAACATTACCTGACTTCACCTACTGTGCAGTGGGGTCTAACAAGCCATCCAGTAGCTGGACTGAAAGCAAGGACCCAAATCTGCTCTTTCACATTAAACTAACCATCTGAGACCGACAGACAGATAGGGGAGGACGAGAGACAGAGAGGGAGAGAGTTCTCCGTAATTTAAATTAGTTCTCCCTAATGATGCCTAATGGTTCAAAATAAGCCATGTGTCTGCAGTGGATAGAAAATGACAATGTCATCGTGTGGCGTATTTTTAGGGACAGTGAAAAAGAACTCTGATCTAATTATCAGCCCCGGCTGTTTGGGGGGGGGGGGGGGAATACTAATTGAAACATGGTTGCAGGCCCAAGCCTCTTGTTTCAGTCACTCATGCAGGCAGCAGAGAAGTGCTGGCTCAGTTTGCCTCGTCTTACACCACTAACACTTTTCTGTGCGCTTCAAACAGTGAGGAAAGAGAGAAACTGTGTTATTGTACAGTTCAGTGCAGCACAGTCAAACAACTATGGCTGAACTATGTTGTTTAATGCAGAGGTGCAGCAATCGATAGGCGGAGATTAGAAGTGGCAGGTTTTCAGCGTGATTGACCTTGATTCTGTACCTATTAGATTTTGAGGCACAACAGTCCAACGGTCCAGACTTTGGAGAAGGGGAAACTACGTCCAAATCATCAACAAAAATGAGGGAGTTACTGTCTACAGATGAAATGCATGTATATGTTCAGTGTATCCAACTCATGGTAAAACGGCAAACTATACAGCTCAAAAAGAAACTGTGCTCAGTAGTAAGAGACAGTCATTTGTTTCTGTTATCTGTTGCCCCTGTCTATGTTTGGGTAAGCACAAATATTGCATTTCATACTACGTTGGAGGTTTGTTAAAAAATGAGTCAGAGAAAGACAGAAATGTAAAACTTTAATACAGTGTTTTATTTTTATTACAGTTTAATTTTTCATTAAAGAAAACTTACACAAGTATGTGTATCCTGTCAGTTACAGTTCTTAGTCAGAAAGAAAATTTGAATTGGCCAAAATCAGAATCGGCAGGTTAGACTTAAAGAAAATGGAGTGAAATTGGAATTGGCCAAAAAATAAATTGCAATTGGTACATCTCTAGTAATGCAGTTTCACTTTATGGCTGTAGGGAA